GATGCTAAAGCCCAGTCAGGTTGTACTCAAGAGATGACATATATAGTCTGTCAAGTGTAAGTCTCTGCATTTGCATATAAATATGATAGGTCTGCTTATTCTAGTGTTTGCTGATCCTTTGACTAGGCGGTTCAATACTTGAGCTGTCTGTTTGATCAATAATTTTTTTGCTGTTCAGGGCAAAATCCAAGCTGAAATTTAACTGAAATTGGAGAAGACTGAAGTTTGATTGCAACGTGAGTATCTTATCAGGATGTGCTTTTCGGCATAACAAAAATCGACTGCAGCTAAGTTAGGGCCTAAACTACTGCAAAATTGCAGTCTGTACATCCTCTGTAAAGAATAAAGAAAAAATTCTCTAAATTCCTCAAAATTTGTGTGGATGTTGAGCATGCTTTAATTTGGGCAGGACTTCCATTGCAGTGCATGGTCTTGATTGGGACATGTGGAGTTTAGGGCTAGCAACTTGGTTATGACAAGATACCACCAAATACAAGTTCCTATAGGCTGGTTAAGATGGCTTTTGCTATGAAAAAATATTAATACACTGCTGAAAATACTAACTGTGGTAGTCATTTAGCTGTCATGTGGAGTATTAAACTTCATCACTTAAATAATAAAAATGAGTCAAACAAGAACTTTAACTTAAAAGTAAACCCCTCAACCTAAATATATACCATTGACACCTTCAAAGCAGAAACTAAAATGCTTTCCTTTTTTTGTTTAATAAAGTTTCTGCTTAGAAACCAAAGCAGGAAATTACTTTCAATTTTTGCAGAAAGATTACCAGACTCCCTGGTTGGAGCGGCACCTGTCTCAGTCTGCCGGAGCAGGGCTACCACAGCACCGTGCGAGCAAAAATACGTCAAAATGAGCAAGGGAAGACCACTCTGTGACCCAGCTTTTGAAGAAGTTAATGGAAGTGGTCGTGCTATGAGGTGTTGACAACTCGGAGGAGAGTAAGGGGAAGGCCAGTGCTTGCTGAGAAGCAGTGGAAGGAGTAAAGCCAGATCAGACCCCAAGTGCGGGGCAGTGCCAGAGCTGGGCTCCATGGGGGGAAGGTGCAGGTAATACCGAGCTGTCGTTTCCAGGCGGCAGCGTATCAAAAGTTTCCCTTGCCCAACGCTGATGGGAGGGAAGTTGTCAAAGGCAGATGAGGGTAACTGCAGACAGAAACAAAGCTAGTTTTTAAAATTTGCAAATGGTTTATAACTCCTGTTTCTGTGACTGAACTTCCAAGCAACGTTCGTTGCCCGAGGCCAGGTTGCAAAGGACTCGGTTGAAAGTGAGCTGAAGGTTGCTAATGGCTTAAGGGTGAAAATATGCAATTAATTGCATAGAAAAAGAGCCTATTAAAAAATGGCTTGTATGAGCAATGATTATTCAAGTGTATGGAAAAAACTGTAAGTTTTTATCCGCAGTTGATAGCGGAGGCAATAGGGTGACAAATAGGGAGGTACGATGATAAGAAAAGCCAGACCTTTAGGGAACAACATAATCGTGGAGTTTGAGAACAACTAAGGAGAGAGAAAAGCAAAGTATTGGAAGTAAGCTGAAATAAATTGATGTTACAGTGTTAACATCTGGCTGTCTGCGAGACAGGCTGCATCTGCTTGGACTAGACCTTCCACAATATTTTTGCTGAAACATGTTATGGACTTGACCACCACAAGCCTCAAAGTGGTTAAAAGAATATGAAGGCTCTTTGGCAACAAAAAAAAGTTCCTGATTAGATGTGACAGAACAGTTAACTTATCTAGAAAGATATATTGGAAGTTGCCTGTGTTACCTCCGAACTGTGAGTGATGGTGAAGCAGAGCTTGAAAGCAGAGGGGTCCTGGTAGTTAACGTGTTTGCCACAAAGCAAGGAGCCTGATCAGTCAAGTGACTGTGGCCCTCGGTGCTCCCCACATCAATGGCTGTTTGGGTAGGTGGTTGGATTTCCAGCAGAAGACCCCATACCCTTCCAGAGGAAATGTCTCCCGTAGACATGGATGAATTAAAATAGAAGAACTGCCTGTAGAGTGGGAGAAAGCTACTGGAGAGTGGCCACCAAGGGAAACTCTTGGCTTTTTCTCATGATCACCTGCTTTTAAAGCAGAAAAGATTCTTTATCTGCAGTTGCTCTCAAGGGAAAGTTTAGAAAGAGGTTGATATTTCCAAACATCTGTTGAAAACGAAAGGAGAGGAAGGGGGTTAGTCTGAGCGTTGGAGGTGGTCTTCTGCTGTTTCTGGCCATTTAGCCAAAGGACCTGAACTGCGTGGTGGCAGCTCTGCAACCTGAGCACTTGCTTCTGTGGGTTTTGTCATTCCTCACTTCCATACGCTTGCACGGGGTTGGCTATTAATTATGGCACATTGACACATGAAAACCAAGCTGTTATCTGAATATATCTGAACTGGATGTGAGTAATTTTGATCTGTATGATTAGATTATCTGGTATCACCGTACAAGTATTCTGCTCTTTATGTTTTAGGCTTTATTTGTACAGCTGTGGTCTGAGTCTGCAACCTTTTGTCATTACTATTTAGGCCTGTAAAGAAAACTTAATAATATATGGCACAATACGTTTGCTAAAACTGAGTAAAATATTACAGTTCCACAAATTGAGGGAAAAAAAATCATCCAGATGAATACCTTGTTCAGTCTGGCATCGGAGAGTAGGGAAGGAGGGAGGCTGCTCCTCTCCCATGCTTTCTCCAGTAAGGGTTATGCAGAGCAAGGAGAGTCGTGCCTCGTATGTGGGTGCACCAGCACCCTACCATGCACAGAGGGTGTAGCTGCTCTTGCCCTGTGCAACACCGTCCTCTGCACCAGATAGGGTGGAAGTCCTGGGAAGAGAGAAAAAGGTGTGTGGTCGTGCAATGGAGGAAGTGGAATTCAAGACTTATACGTACCTTTGTTTGGCATTATGTAATTTCTAGGGACTGGATATTGGAACTTGGCTGTTTTCAGGCTTTTTTTTTTTTTTTTTTTTTTTTTTTGCTTTAGCGCATCACTTCTAAGTCAATTTTCATGAAAATTGAAGGCAACACAGCATCTGTTAAGATCTTCAGACCCTCAGAAAAGGGCTTACTGTAAATCTAAGTTTTCAAAGAATTAATCATTAAATCAGAATTAAATTTATATTGTTTATATGTCTTCTAATTCTGTGTGACCACATGCTGACTGTTTTGTCTTCCATTCAGATTTTCTTGGTAATGTGTCATCTGTTTGTGTGTGAAGATGTGTAAAATGACTAATTCTTCCTACTTTTTACATTCATAAAGTAACAATTCTGGTTTTGTTCTTGAAGGAACTGCTAAAAGGCCTTCTGTGGAAACACTAGAATGAGATAATTAAATCATTGGTCCTAAGTGTTTATGTGTTTGTGATGACATGTACTTTACTGAACAGAACAAATTACCTTGGCAAGATTGACTTTCCTGTGAACTTAAAATAGTTTGCAGCATTTTTATACTTGCCAAGGTTTGAAAGCTATAAAAGGGGAGATTTGTGAGGAGAGAAATATATTTTTATTTATTTTTATGCATAAATATATACACATACATATTCATTAATTTTTTTGGACGATGAAAAGGAGGAGGAGTAAGCTGGAAGAATTTACGCAGGAATTCCAGCTTATTGGTGCTGTTACTATCTGAGGGTGACACACCCTGGATTTCTCCACTGTAAAGATCATCAATAATTTACAAGTATATAAAATCCAGTTTGCAAGTCCTAGAAGGCTTCTGGATTTCTCCAGGGTGCTGCGTGTGGCATGGAAGTACCTCTGCTCAAGGTGGGACAAGCAGACATTTAGTTGGGATGTATTTTGCTCGGCTGTTTGGGTTGGGTGGAGGGGTTGCCACCCTAGTGCATCTCCTGGACTTTCAGCAAGTTAGTAGTTGAAGCTCCTGATATTAAAAACACAGATCTCTAGAAATTACTCTGTTAGCAGATGCTTCCTGTAGGCTTTGTCTCTTCCACATGTGTTTGTAGGGACGCGAGGAAGCTCACCGGCTGAGGGCTGGAGGAGTTCGGCCGATGTACGGCAGGGCGAGAGGCTCATGACAGCCTGTGAGATGGGTCAGCCCCCGTGAAGCTGGGGAAGCCTAGCTCGCCAGGGAATGGTATTTCAGAGGAAAATGAAGATACTGGGTTTTGTTTTGCTTGCTGGCGAGGCGGAGTGGCTTGGTTCTGTTGGCTTTCCATGCTCTTCACTGCAAGCCTGCAGTAGTTTGCTTTATAAACACCAACACATTGTATTCCAGAGAGATAGGGTATTTGTTAAGATACCTATTTGCTTGGGAAGTCTTTGCTTATGGGAAGCAGCAGGCCTGAAGATCTGGGAAGCGCTGGCAGCCAAAGAGGCAACCTGACACTGCTTCTGTGTGTGTCCACGGTCCTCACCGCTGGCTGTCGGTGGTGGAGCTGGCCAGGCTCCTTGCAAAGATCCTGCCAGCATCACTTGCTCCCCTTTGCCTTCTGGCAGCTGAGTTGGATCATAGTGAATTATTTTTATGCTCATCAAGAAACCCTCTTTACAAATACAACTGTTAAAGAACCCAGTAAGTGACTGTCAGAAGCCTTTGATTTCTTGGTTGCCTTTTATCTGGATAAATTCTGCCTTTTTTCCTGAATTTTAGGAGGAGGGCAGCTAGGATTTCTTTTGCGTAGTTATGCAGTGCAGGTGTATCTACATTAAATACATGTGTGTATGCTGTCGTTTCTGATACTCCAATTCACATACCTTTTTGATTTAGCATTAAGAGGTAACTGAGTGCTTCATCAAATGGTCAAGAATTGCTTATTTTCCTGGATAGTCTTCAACACTGTTGAGAAATTAATGGCAGTTTCAGACTTTACGAAGGGCAAAGAAATGGTATTCTCTGTTTCAAAGAACTAATTAGAAGTAAATGCCTGTGGGTATTGGATTCTCCCCCTTACATTTTAGGAGAATTAGATGAAAATTTAATAATTGCTTTTAATTTTACAGGCAGCCAGCATCAAGCGTGAAATGACCTTCTCTGCATTTCAACAGGACGATGTAAAAAGTGACATCAGTCAAAAACTGCCAGACCAACAGTTTCTCCTGTTCACCACAAAGGAGGAAGATTTAAAAACAGCAGAGACCAAAAAACCAAACAGAGCTCATGAGTATGAAAAGGAAAACACTCGCTCTGTTTGTCTTCTGGAACAGAAGCGCAAGGTTGTTTCTTCAAATATTGATGTGCCTCCAGCAAGGTAAGGAAAGTTGGCAGGTTTTGTGGTGTTTTGTTTTAAGCTTTTGATATTAGAGGCAAATTTGGTAAGCAGTATAATGAACTGATAAGACTAGTATTTGTCTCTAAGCAGTCCAAAGTCAATTACAACTCCACTACTTGAGAGATCTGCTAGAAAGTTGAAAACGCTGGTAGCAGAAACTGGGACTATCTGCAGCGTAGGACTTTGTATTGCTTTTGCAATGTTTTTGCTTTTCTGACATGCTGCAACTGAGGTACTCCCAGAAGAGGACGTGTCTTAACAGGAAGAGATTGTTGACCCAGCTTTACCCTGAGAAGTAATCTTCTAAATTAGATGCAGAGTCATCTTACCTGCTAGCAATTGTTTGTTTGGTTTGTTGTTTTGGGTTTTTTTTACTGTGATACCTGCAGCCGCTTTATACTCATGCAGTGACTTACGCTGCATAGTGAGGATGTAGTATCTTATGTTCTGTTATATCCCTGGATAGGTATAGAGCTGAATCATAATGTGGTCTATGAAATTAATTAATAGAAAAAAGTAGTGAGGAAAAGCCAAGGCAGAGAAATAAAATTTGTACAAAACGTGGATTTGGGGATTTTGGTATTGCTTTTTAGTTTGTTGTCCCTTGAGGATCTGTTGTGAATGCACATAAATGTTTGCGTCTTCAGCATTCGCATCTGGGCAGTTACACTTTTAATTATAAACTATTTCTAGGGAATTATTTTGAGAAAAATAATTGTTCTATATCTGAGACTTGATGTATATCACAGCAAGAAATTCAGGGTTTATTTGTTGATTTTCTTCCTTCCTGCTATTTAAGTGGAATAATAGTAAGAGAAGGAGAAACCGAGAATTTCTTACTGGCTAGTGATTTAAAGAGAAGGGGCTTGAAAATACAGAGTCTAGAACCTTGAACTTTGGGGAGGGACTTCACTTTGAGAGGGAAAGGGAATGACTCCTCTAGGAAATGCTGAACATTATTATAAAAGAAACATATCCAGTAATGCTAAACACGCACTTGTATCAATGGTGAAAAACTGACAACAAATTGGATATTCTGCATTGTGAGATGACAAGTGCTTTTTCTTTTTATTGTTTGTGATTTCATGTTGGCATCAGTCTGTCTGCAAAGATTTTTTCCTTAACCTGCCTGATAAATTCAATTGCACATAATATCCAGTGAAACACCTTCCAAGTTTATAGTGCCACTTAAAAAATATGTAGTCAAACTGGATGTTTTGTTGTTTTTTTATTTGTTTGCTTTCTAAAAGCCAACATAAACCAGCAGGTTCTGCCACATCATCCAGAACAGGATGACTGTCATTTTCCTCTGGCTCTCATAGATGACGCTTGTGAAAACTGCAAAGTTCACGAGCATTTTGACAGGATTTCCCCCCATACACACATATCTAGTAAAAAGCTATGCATTAAAAGCTTGAAAATGTTAGGATACTTATTTGAGATTTTCACCAGTAATCAACCCTGTAATGGCTGAGTGCCCTTCTCATTCATGCTTATGTCTCTCAAAGCATATAGGATCATCAGAAAATGGAGGTCAGCAGGGACCTCAGGAAGTCACCTAGTCCAACCTCCTGCTCAAACCATGTGTTAGCATTTTCATTTTACAATTCAGGCAGCCAAGGTACAGGATTTAAGTGCCTCTTTGTGTGGCTTCATGCAGATAATCCACCTGAAGGAGGAGTCGGGCTCCCTTTTCTGTAACTGCAAGATATCCGTCCTTGGAGGGATGGACATTTTTTCCCCAACAAGGTGGAAGAGAGTGAATAAACATCTTTAATGCCACCTTAAGACTAATTGTGACACCAGTTGTGAGCACAAGATGCTTAAGATGATAGGAAATATGTTCATTTGCAAAGGTATCTTCTAAAACTGTTCATTGTTCCTGTGTTTTGCTGTGAACAGATAAATGATCATATCTTGTTGCATGTTTTCAGACATGCAGGTTGAGCGGTGCTACATTAGCAGAATTAGAGAACAAAGTAGAAAACAAACCTAGAGTTTAAATTTGGTAGTATGATAATAAACATCTCAGCCACTATTGCTACAGTTTTGAGGACAAGTTTAAGTTTCCCTTTAAATGTGAGGTGATTTATTGCACCATTTGTCCACACGGAACAGGATGAGCGCTAAAAGCTTTGCTTGGAGATCTTACTAAATACTTGTTGTTGTATTGAGGGGAATGCCACATCTCTCTTCCCCTTCAGCATGGTTTGATCTCTTAAGTCATATTCTCTGAGAAGTGAGAGTCTAGGCATTTGATGTTCTCCTGCCTCTTTGTAAGTCCCTTCCAGTCTTCTGTCTAGGACTGTGCTGGTAGAGTTGCGTGTTCCCCAACGGTGAATTCCTTCTCTGTTCTCCTCCTGCCAGGACTTGTTGGGTCGACTGTCCTCTCCTCTGGTGAGAACGTCCATCCACCTTTGCAGCTTGCTTTCTTTGCCTTCACAGATGATGTGTTGTATCCAGTTGTGAAGGGTAATCTTGAATTGATCAGATGATGTTTACAAATGCATGGGAGAAAGAAGGAGTTTAATATGATCTTCAGTTTCTTATTGCTACATAATCCCTCTTTTCAAAAAACTTTCAGCTGTCATTTTGAAGCAGAAAAATGCTATGGAAATGAAGCTTGCTTTTTTTTTTTTTTTTTTTTTAAACCTTAGTGGAGCTGAGAAGGTTACCCACTTTACTTCAGTTGCCAAGGTAGAGGGTAATGTTAAAATTTGCTGTATCCTACTCAGGAAAACTCAGGAAAATATGTAAGGGATTTTGAGACAGAAGTTTATCATACTGCAGAATCCTTATTAATGAGGGCATATGAGTATCTCTGTAAAAGCTCTGAAAAAGTGTGTGCAAAAGAGCTGGTAACGTGGATAAGTATACTTCACTTTGACCACAAAATGAAACAAAGTCCATCCCATTTTCCTGTTTTTAAGGATCTCAATGAGTAAGAATGAAAATCTTTGTGAGGTATTGTATCCAAAATAACTGACAGCTCAGAAAACACCAGCATAATAATTGTTGCTTCTGAGGCATTCAGCCGCAGGGCTTTCGTTATTACTTAATAGACTCTGAAATTTTAGAAATGTGAAAATATCTTAACTGAGTCCCTGATATTTCAGGTGATTGGTACTCAGGTGCAATGAAATTACAGTAGATGGAACTGTAGAGCTGTGTGGTGGCTGGTGGCTGTCTCACGCGCACATTTAGGAAAATGGGAAACTAATGGAAATCGTGGACACTTCAGAATTGTGTTTGTTAATGAAATCTGGAAAGAAGGGGTAGATCTAATTAATTAACAAAAGAACCTGAACCCACACCTTCCACGCTCCAGGCAAGTACGTAACTGTTGGGCTAATTAGATCTAACTGATAGCCCAACAGTTACACACTTGCCTGGAGCGTGGAGGGTTGTGGGTTCAGGTTCTTTTTTTGTTGTATTTGGAGCAAGGACCTGAACTAGGGTTTGTGGTGTACAAGGGAGGTGTCTTAACCATCAAAGTCCTGGCATATTCAAGGTGCTTCACAGGGCAGCTCTTCGAAGTAATAGTGTCAGCCTAAATGTAGCAGACCTGAAATAAATATTTTATTGCATGCAGGAGAATTTTAATATTGTAATGAAATTAAATTTTAAAGTTCATTGTTTACATTTGCTATTTCATCTTGCAAAAATACTGCAGACCTTTCTACGTTACGTGCTGTACTGGAAGTGTCTTTTGGATTAAAATAGGAGGAGACCATAACTACTACTTACTGATTTTTTTGTTTTGGAATGCAAAAATGAAATGAGAGGTTAACAGCATTAAGTCTTCCCCTTTTCAGATTTCTTCATTTGGTCATTTTGAACAAAATTTATATGAGTTAAGTAGCTTTCCTACTTCTGAAACTCAGATGAGCATAAATGAAACTGTTCAGCTTGAGTAGATGAATTATTTAATATAATAAGGAAATTTGAATTCCTTACTTTACCTTTAAAGTTTAAATTTATTGGTAGTTTTGGTGCATAAAGGACTGCTGTCTTGGAGGAAGGGGTCTGACCACTCAACTATAACAAACTGCAGTTATCTCAGAATTGAGTTGTTATCTGTACAACGGAAGAGAATACACTTTAGATTGACCTCCAGTTCAAACATGAGTGATCAAACACAGCCCAGATCCCTAGGATCTGAGTAGTGAAAGGTCATTTTCTAAAAAGAGAGCGGTGTCACTGAGGGACTGTTCGCCTTGTCTTGTGGGCAGAAGCAAGCACAGGTCTACCAGTGTTTGAGGCAGCTACATCTGTAGAGGTCAGATGTAATCAAAGATGATGTCCCCAGTGGGCAGTGGCGTGGAAGTTGACAGAGCCTTTTTGCTCATTTGTATTTTCATCAGTTACTTACAGTAATGCATACTTACTCCCAAAGCAAGTCAACAAGAAAGATGAGAAGAAGCCTGGGCTGCTGATATGGTGGGTTTGAGTCATGATGTAGGGACCCAGTGCAGGTCAGGCACACGGGGAATGGCTTCTGCCTCTTGGAGGATGAGGATGGAAGGGCGGGCAACGGAGAGCAAGGGGTGAAGTTTCCTTTTTTGAGTAAAATGTGAGAATAAATGTCTGGAAATAGTGATGGGGTTAAAGGTCCTTTTAGACAGAAGTGTTTTGACCAGCTGTAGCTGGAAACCCTTCAAAATTTACATGCATTAGTCAGAAGTGGTGTCCTTTCTGGTGTCCCAGAAAGGAGTAACTGGAAACATCCGGAAGGTTAAGAGAGTCAAAGAAGGAACTAGGCAGGCATCGCTCCTACCCCTCTGATGGGTGGGAGTGTTTGAACAGTTTTGCTTTTGTTAGCCTCTTGCTAGATGACATCAAAATACTGTGAAATTTGTTATTATCCCCTTGCCACATCATCCTCCTTTTCCCCAGTCCTCCTGTATCCTATCTTCTCTAAAAAACCAGAAGAAATATAAACTTTCTAACTGCCTTTTTCTGCCTTAAGTTTGTGCTCT